GGGAAAGGAGATTTCACATCTGCGTTTTTTTCTCCAAAACTACAATTCAAATTCTGAAAAAAAAAAGAACGAACAGATATTCAATTACTAAAAGCTACATAAACTACGAAGATATTCAACTACTAACAGCTTCTAAGATTTGAATCCAAATTGTAGAATTCAAAATTTTCGAGTTTCAACAACTCAAAGTTGAAAAAATCTGTTCTTCGTCGTTGCTTCTATCAAATTGTCGATCAGATCTATCTCTTATTCATCTTTTCTTCTTTCAATCTAGAAATCAAAAAAAAGCATCAACATCAACAACAAATCATGTCCAAAATCACAATTATGCTACAATTTAATGACAATTGGGATAACTATGGCAGATTTAGAGATTTTGAAGTGAAGGTTTGTGTAGTTCGAAAAATGCTTAGAATTTTAGTTTTATGATATTATCTACAAATTTACTACATATATCTACAATTTGACTACAATTTCTCATAAAGAAAGAGGCAAGCAGTATTGTTTTCAGAGCAATCTACAAAGTCCAACAATTTAACTACAGTGTAACTACAATGTCTGACATCTTAAAATAGATGACTACAAATTTTTGTAGATATCTACAAATTATCTACAAAGATTCTACAAATTTGTAATGACACTGTTTATCTCTATTTTGATGCAGGTTCATCTGGATCGCTAAAGTTACTTGATATGCCATCCTCTCCAGATATAGAGAAATATCAAAGTGAAATAATAAAAGAATATACGCAAACCGATATTGAAGAAGGACAAGTGTATCAGGACAAGCAAACTATAGCTGCTGCAATGAAGCACTTTTCTGTGGTGCACAAGTTCCAGTTCAAAGTTAAAAGATCTAGTCATAGAAGGTATAGAGAAAATCTGATTCTAAGCAGTGCATTGTTCAAAAAATGTGGTTTTTAATATTGTAGATAAATTGTAGTTAGAATGTAGTTAAATTGTAGTTTATGTTATTTTCCCTTAAAACAATCCTTCTGTTGCACCTACAATTATAATTTGTTTTTTTTTTGGCAGCTACTGGCTTGTAATTCTCCAACATCTACATCAAGCTTTTTTTTGTTCTCATTTCAGCTCTTATTTGTCGGGGAGATGAAGTATGACTAATATCTGTAATTGCATGTGTAGATTTACCTAGATTTTTGGGTGATTTGGGGGATAAAACACCCAAATCAAAGGACGGTAATTCACCTACTGCTGATTTTTTTGGACTCGTTTTCGAACCTTGCTTGATCTTCATTGATGAACTTCAAGTAAATAAAAATGAGGATAGGAATTTGTTTATAGGGTTTACTGAATTTTGTTTGAATTTAGAGGTAAAGATGGTGGTTTCAGAAGAAGGAAAACGGAGGAATAAGCTTGGGAGGGTAAAAAGAACGTGGGGGGTATGGGGATGAGGGGTTAGGAGAGAGAAAGTGAGGATTAGTACTGTCAAATAACGGAAGGGCTTAAATTAAGGAGTATAAAATATCACATTAATTATAACCTTAATTAGATATGGTATATAAATGGTAATTTGGTATGCTAAATGTAATTAAGTGAAACCTTAAACAAGTAGGGTAAAAAGGTTTCATAAATGGGATAGGAATGTAAAATTCCATAATAATATTACCATATACTTTATGCGATCTCATATAGTTTTATTACTTATGCTACAATGTAGATGACATATTTCACTTCTCGAGAATTAATTTGACTAAACTTTAAGGCGACAAAGGCTAAGATAAAAAAAGAACAGAGGTATGACTGGCATAATATCTATGATTGGATTCAAAAAAGCATAGGCCTCGGGCAATTTGCCGAAGAAAAACTACTCAAAAAAAGGGTCGAATTAAGACAGATACCGATCAAACTCAAGGTATTAAGCATAACAGACTTTTTGTTCTTGGAGATAATTGCATTTTGATTGAGTAAATTAGATTAGCTCAACTTCATTAGGTAAATTCACATAATTATGTCAAAATTGGGTTGGCCTGGTGGCAATAGACTTGAGCCTTGGGGTTTGCTCCCTTTCAAGGTCTCAAGTTCGAAACCCACTGGGTGCAAACAATTTCTGAGGGCCATCGGACTGGGTAAAACCTGAATTAACCGTGGTGTACTTGCGGGAAACTCCTTGCCGAGGGCCTGTGCACCCCCGGAATTAGTCGGGGCTCTTAGAGACTCGGACACCCGGTGCAAATCAAAAAAAAAAACAATTAAAGTTAGAGGCAATCGGGCAGAAACGCCCAAACTTAACAAAGAAACAATAATAGCCAGCGTATATAAAACATTTCAAAACTAATACAGTGAAACTCTCGTGGTCACTTTTACATGCTAAGAGGTTGTCTTTGTTTAGGATTGTTGACTGAAGTTAGTAAAACAAGCTGATAAGTCAACTATGGTTAGAAATGTAACTATAGACTGTAGTTAGGAGTAGATTAGTTAGTATAGTGTTAGAAGTCAGTTATACTGTAGGTTTATAAATGCACTACACATACATGTATAGATATACGGTTGTATCAATTCTACTCAATAACATATTTGATTTCTCATTCTCTGAGTGTTGCCTTCTCTTGCATGTCTTCTTCCTCAAGCTCAACCTTCAGATCCATGGTTGCTAATAACATGGTATCAGAGCCACCCGAGTAGATCGAAGGCAGTTCTCAAGCTAGTCCTTACTCTCGTTACTTCAATTTTGCAATTCTGTGGTAAATTGTCCAATTGTAGCGTGTAGCTGAAAGGCTAAGGTTTACTCTTGAGAAGCAGCTGAAAATGGCGATTGGAGAAGAAACCTTAGGTAAAACTTCATTTCCAGCAACTACAACCTCTGGTAATGTCAATCCTGTTGCCGACACAACTGTGTTTCCATCAATTGCCCACAATCATCCACTCTTCATTCAACCAACAGACACTCCAGGTAGTACTCTGGTTTCTCTTCAACTTACTGGTTCAGATAACTATGCGATATGGAGTAAGTCTATGAGGATTGGTCTGTTAGGGAAGAGCCAGTTAGGTTTTGTAGATGGTCGATTTTATAAGTCTAAATTTGAACCTGAACTTCATGATCAATGGGAGAAAGTAAATGATGTAGTTCTCTCATAGATAATGAATGCAGTAAAGCCAGGTTTACTTAGTAGTGTAGTATATGCCTCTAATGCTCATAAGGTTTGGGAGGACTTAAAAGAGAGATTCGACAAGGTAAATGAATCTAGGGTTCTGTATCTTCATAGAGAGATTCATAACCTCACTCAAGGTACCATGTCTATTGCTGACTACTTCTCCAAGTTGAGAGATCTTTGGGATGAATTTGATGCATTAATGCCCTGTCCCGGTTGTCTATGTCCTGAATCAAAAAAATACGCCCAACACTTTGAGTATCACCGGCTACTACAGTTTCTAATGGGATTGAATGAGTCCTACTCACAGTCAAGGAGCTAGATTATGATGATGTCTCCAATTCCTAGCATTAACAAAGCCTACTCTTACTGATTGATCAAGAGAGCCAAAGGAGTCTGGCTAATTTCACTCAGACCAATCACACTGCAGAAGGCATAGAAGGAGCTGTATTCTATAGTATTAAGAACTCAACAAACGCAGGTGGGAACTTCAAGTTTAGGAAGAATCAGGTTCAATGTGAATATTGTCACTATAAGGGACACACAAAGGAGAACTACTACAAACTTCATGGCTATCCATCAGACTTCAAAGGAAAGAAAAAGGGGCAAAGTTCTGGAGTGTATGCAAACAGTGTGAGTAGTCCAATGTTTCCAAATGCTGCAAAAGCAGACAATCAGTAAGTTTCCTATGGAACTGAACCAGGGTTGCAGCAAGTCCAGCAAGCTTACATGCCTCAGTTTACACAAACAACTCCTAAAATACTCATGCAGTTCCTTTCTTCACCAAAGAACAGTACCAACAAATTCTTCAGATGCTGTCCAATGGGAGTGAAGAGGGTCCGGAATCATCTACCAAATTAGTTGCTGCAGGTACTCTAATTACTCTAATGTCCAATTATCTCAAGCATAATTGGATTATAGACACAGGAGCCTCAAATCATATGACTTCACAACTTGATGCTCTTACCTCTTGTCAAGCAATCCCCAGTTCAGAGAGGTGTACTGTTCAATTACCTACTGGGAATATAGTCCCTGTATCACATAAAGGAACCTCCTCAGTACTTAGAAATAACAATATCTCTAATGTACTATACATTCCAGACTTCAGATACAACTTACTCTCAGTGTCTCAACTCACCAAAGAACTCCAATGCATGGTTGCATTCTTCCCTGACTTCTGCATTTTCCAGGATCTCTTCAGTGGTCATGTGAAGGGGGATTGGTAAGGAGGAGCATGGTTTGTACGTACTTCAAGCAGGATCATCAACAACACCAGAGAATAAGTGTGCTCACACAGCCAACTTACTTGATTTTGAAGTAGTGTGACATAGGAGATTAGGACATGCTCCTATTGAAGTAATAAGGAAGTTAGATGCTCTTAGTTCCTTAAGGACAGGAACTCATCACTGTCCTGTATGCCCAGTTGCTAAACAGTCTAGATTGCCTTTTCCTCTAAGTATATCAGTATCTCAATCTGTATTTGACCTAGTTCATTGTGATATCTGGGGACCATATAGAGTCCCCTCTCATAGTGGTAAGAGGTATTTTGTCACAATAGTTGATGACTATACCACATACACTTGGATTTTTCTGCTCAACTTCAAGTCAGAAGTTATAGTTGAATTGACTTAAGCTATTGTTACACTGTACATGTATATATGTATTTTCACTTTGACAGCTGTCCACACCTATAACTACCTTCTAACATTACAAACTAACTAAACTCTTCTTACATAAATAATCCTTTCACTAATTATGTCTAACTAACTAATCCTCAAGTAACTCCTTTCTCAACAAAAAAGTACAGTTAAGATCTACGTACACATTATCTTCCTGGCAGTGTGAGAATACACATGATATATTGTTGTAATTACACGAACAAGGTCATGAAAGAATATATTTTTTTTCATTGAATACTTTATGCACAATATGAATGATGTAAATACACAAAAAAGAAAATTGAAACTGTAAGCACCCTCTCTGCTTTCTCTTCTCTTTTTAAATTTTTTTCCAGAGAGAAATGTATAACAAATTAATTCTCAAGAGGAAAATGATCAAATGAAATTAAGCAAAAAAAACTACACAATCTGAAGTATTAGCGGCGACTCATAGACATAGAATTAGCTACACTTTTTGAAACAGATTCTCGCATTGATGCATTGAAACCTAAGCAACCCAATAAACCCTGTTTGTATGGCAAATATGTTTTCTTCTTCATCTCTTCTGAAACTGCCCTGTTCATTGTATAATGCAACTCATGAGCCGAAACCGGTCCTTTCTTTCTCGATCTAACACTGTCTGTTGACCTAAAGCTGGAATTTTTCACATCTTCTTGATGACTCTTCTTCAATAATTCGTACTTATTTAATTGTTCCGTACTACTTGCTCGACCTTCTGAAGAACTTCTGAATAGAAACAAGTCTTTGAGTTTCCATTTTTTGGACCAGAGTGAGATCATTGAAGAAACTGAAGAAGTTGAAGAGGAGGAAGAAGAAGATGACGATGATGAAACAGAGGCTGACTTTTTTGGGTTTTGTTGATTGCTTTCTTGATCATATAATAAATCAGAAACTCTAAATGGTGATAATGATCTTGTTCCTTTTTCCCTTGAACTTGAAGAGTTTTCCAAATTCTGATAGTCCTCTGTTTGACTCTGTTTTTGTAAAGCTGCAGCCAATGGGTCAAAATCTTTCTTTTTATGTCGGGGCGAAAATGCTTCTTTGAACAATTTTTTTGGTGATTTTGGAGAATCAATGTGTTTTCCTTCGTACTGAAACCGAGGTGGTGGTTTTAAAGGCTTAATTTTTCCACCATCAAAGAGTTCATCAGCTGCTGAAAAAGAAATCCTCTCTAATTGACCACTGAAATCAAAAGCAAAATCATCATCTTCAATTGGGTCAAAGTTAATTTCATCGTAAAGTGAGGAAATGCGGGTGGGACTAGCGGGTGCACTGTAGAACAAGGTGGCGACACGTGGAGGACTTGAAGGTGCACTCATATAAGGAGTTGTGCAACCACTGTCGACGTTGAAATCCACCGCTGGAGATGGCATCATTACCTCTATCTCCATTGATACAACACTATGTATAAGTGTTTGATGTTTTTTCTTACGAGAAAAGAAGAGAAACTGTTGAGTTTCAGAAAACAGGGGAAGAGAAGAATGATATATAGATATACTTGGAAAAAAAAGGAAGGAGGAAGGAAAAGAGAGGAATTGACTCGAAGCTAATTGACAATGGCTATGGGCCAATAACAGAGGCATACTCGCCTTTTCTTCTGTTTGTTTTTTATGGACTTTTTTTATTTACTGATATTGTCCTCTTTTGTCTTTTTGTTTTCTTGAGCCGAGGGTTTTTCGAAAACAGTCTCTCTACTCCTTCGGTGTAGGGATAAAGTCTGCGTACACGCTTCTCCCCAAACCCTACTAGTGGGATTTTAGTGGGTCGTTGTTGTTGTTTTATTCTATGTATTTTGATCAAGACTCTTCAACAACTTCTAATACAATGACAAATTTGCCCTTATTAGGATGTGATAAATAGTGTGTTGTGATTGGACTTCTTAAGGTTGTCTATTTAGTTACAAAGGAAAGGTGAAATCAGAGGTAAGAATCCGAATATTTTGTCATTTTACCGTTTGATTTCCATTTAGGTTATGGTGTTTTTCCTTTTGTTTGAATTTTAAATTAAAGGATAGCAAATTATGATGGAAAAAATTTACGGCTAAGTTAAAGTCAGCCAAATACAGCTAATATTCCTATTATTAATCTTAAAGTGGATATCTAGGCTGACATACACATAATCTATCTTTCTTTTTCTAAAGGGGGAAGAAAAATAAACAAAAGAACGACAATTAAAAAAACAAAACAAGAAAAGAAATGTGGACATTTATTTAAATCTAATTATCTTTTTTTTGTCACTGCAAGTCTAGTTGGTATTCTCTGTTCTTCAGCATTATTATTGATATTACTTTTTGGCGGAATTTTTTTTTTCTCCTATTAACCCTGACAAAAAGTACACTAATTTTCTTTCCCTTATTTGGTTAGATATGAAGTTTCTAATATTGTTTTCTTGCAAATCATAAAATGTCTATCTTTTCAAAATTTATTTATTTATTTTTTTCCCCATTCTTCAATGATTTCCAATCATGACAGTTACAGGAAATATCACCGCGTTTATTAATTATGCTCATAATATCATGCAGATTATAACCCCATCCTCCGAAACCAATAGTCAGATTTGCCAATTAATGCACCAAATTTGCAGCTTTTTATTGGTAGATTGATTAGGACATTATTTGTAAGGAGTCATTATAAATTTTTACATAAAATTGTGACACTTAATCTATTTAAATATGAAAACTTTAGACTTTTATTTCTATAATTAAATAAGTCTTCTTTAAAAAAAATTGTTTGGTATTATATTTCATAATACATAACTCCAAGTAGTTGCATGAGTCACGTTGTGTGCGCCATAACGTATTATACTCTTCATAAACTACGTTATTTGAATAATACAGAGCATGCAGATTGACTAAGAATGGATGGAATACTTCTGGTAGCATTAGTTGATAATATTTTCTTAAGCCACAAATAAATAAATAAACAATGTCCAATTTTGGAGTGCTTAGTTTAGTTGCGAAATTAGGTACACAAATTGGTCTACATTGCATATGCATGTCTCCATTAATTATAATATATTATTGTCTTAAACATTTGCATTTTAGCTAAACTACGCTAAGTCTTATCAATAACATTTACCTACTTCGCCGGCTAGACGTTTGGCGAGTTGGATTATGATCCATTCTTTTGTTCAAATTGACCAAATTCATCTTCACTCTAACAAAGTTCGGAAGGGTAATGACTCAATTTTTTATCAATTTAACTCGTTTGGATTCGTTTAAATTTAGTCTAATCCGTCTATTTGACACTCCTAATTATGATATTATATTAAGCAGTCAAAGATTGGATAATTGTGAAAGGAGTAAATATGAACATTGAAGTCACGAATTTCCAACAAATAGAAGAAAAAATATAACTCTTAAGTTAGGTAATTATGTACAAAACAAAGCTGAATTGGGGTTTTGATGATCCAAGCCTCATCCTTTATACTTGACTTGCGCCTTAGAATTTTTTAATTCCTACATAATGATCATATTAAGTAAAGGCACTCCTTTGATGACCTTTATCGCAAAAGTTAACAAACATCATAAAATCGTGATTATTTTAATTAATATTCAACTTCTATCTATACGTAGTTTTGTTTATAATAACTGGCAAGTGATGACATTAGTCCATCTGCAGGCCACTCTTTTCCTCTTTGCTTGTTTAATTAATAACTTCAACACGTTTATTATATCTTAAAAATTCTTAAGGTCCTAATTCTCGGCTTGATTTTAAGATTTTCATTTTTTGTCACTCTTCAATTTGTTTGACAAATTAATTAAAGTCTTCCTCCAAAAATAAATTATAGATATTTCTTCTTCTTCTCTTTCACCCAAATATTTTCAGAAATTGGCAGCTGACCAAAAATTAATTAATACTATCTATTCTGTGGTTAAACTAAGTATATTCGAGGAGTTAATATTGATCATAAGCAGTGGTTTACTTATTCCAACCATTGAAATATGGAATGTACACACACATATAAACACATATGTAACTGGAAGATTAGGTTCTAAGGAATTATTTATGTTCGTGCTCTGCATGTCAATATCATATGCCCATACATTTAGCACATTTTCTACATGCTAGTCAATTATTCCTTCTGTCATTCAATTATTCAATTATACTATAATGTAATACTATAGTATGATTTTGTTTCTCAAGAGCCACATAGTTGCATAATTACATAGACCAATCTTTTCGTGTTCTCTTTACTCGAATGACTTTTTTGGCCCTCTAAACATAGTCTTAATCACTATAGTCAAGACTAGCTGGAATGCATAATCATGAAAAAAACCTATCTAACTTGATCTTTTTCTTTCTTTTGTGTTTCTATATTGTATAGTAGGATTGGTATATAGAGGTAAATGAATAAAAAAATTTATATTACAGATTCTAACATGTTGAGATTGAGACATAAACTTAAAAAGAAGCAAAGTACTATGACTTTGTAACGTATTAAAACAGAAAAAGGAAAACAGTGCCTGCATGTGGGATTCTCCGTCAACAAGATATGTCCTGATAGGTTGCAAGTACCTTGTTATCTGTTTTGATGATCTAACAAACTTAATGTTAAGAACTAGATAAGGAACCTGTTGGCCCAAGTAAAGGTGAAGTTTTGAAGACTGACAAAGGAACTCAGACATGGACCGGGTCCATCTTGTGAAGCACAGTTATGATCAACTCAAACATGTGAGATCCACGTGAAGGAGATAAACCTAACTTATCAGAAGTGATATTTCCTGATCATGATCGAAAATGTTGCATATTGGATAAGGAGAAAGACTCCTTACTCAAAGAGAACACGGTTTAGAAAAAGGATAGAGTTAGAGTATGATATCAGCTAGCACTCTTCCACCATGAAAGAGTAAGTAGCATCAGTATCCTAGTCAATCTCTTATTGCTAACTCCTTAAATGTCAGTGTTGTTCTCTTTTACAGGTAACGCACACAAGCAGAAGTTAAACGTGAATTGAGAGCAAAATAGCGAAGCAATTTTGCAAGCAATTCGTGTGTGATTCAAGCGTGCAAACCTGAAGCTACTTGAACCAGATAGAAGAACCAGTTCCAAGTGTCTATCTTTTATCCTAGTTCAATTGTAGTAGGTGATTTTACATTGTACCTTTCAGCTTATCTAGAAGCAATTGTATTAGGTACTTAGAGTTTTCAAGTTAGAGTTAACTTGAAGTTGTCGCAACAGTTGAGGCTGTGGGCCACAACGGGATTAGAGTTAATCCTAGGTTTTACAAAAGAGTTTTTGTAAATGCAGTTTTTGGCTTAGTGATTTTAGTGGAGAGTTTGGGAAAATCCTACTGGAAGGTAGGTCGTGGTTTTTTTTTCACCTTTTGAGCAAGGTGTTTTCCACGTAAAAATCTCTGTGTTCTTTATTTTCTGTATTTATTATTCCGCAACAGTAGTAGTTGGAACACATAGAAGAACCAGGTCCTTATATAATCAAGTTAAGCGAAAATAGGGTACCACACAAATCACCCCTCCCCCTCCCCCCCTTGTGTGGTATTGAAGTATAAACATCAATTGTCAGACGGGTTATCCTTAAAGAGGTTAACACCTTAGGAACAGATCAAGATGAGTGCACCACCTGGAAACTGGGAAGGACAATCCACTGCTAGGCCTCTACTCTTTAATGGCCAGTACTATTCCTGGTGGAAGAACATGATGAGAGACCACATCATAGGAGAAGACTATGAGCTTTGGGACATTGTTACTGATGGTCCCCTAGCTACTATAAAGAAGAATGCTGAAGGAGAGGATGTGCCAAAGACTAGAGCTGACTGTACTACTGAAGATTTGAAGAAGTGGGAAAAGAATGCTAAGGCCAAGAAATGGCTTGTGTGTGGACTAGGTCCAGACGAGTACAACAGAATTCAAAGTTGTACTACTGCTAAGGAGATCTAGGACACTCTACAAGTGGCCCATGAAGGAACTCCTCAAGTAAAGAGATCAAGAGGAACACTGTTGTATTCTCAATATGAGAATTTCACCATGAAGGAAGGAGAAACCATCCAAGAGGTGTACACAAGGTTCACAACACTAACAAATGAACTTAAGTCTCTTGGAAGAATTATCCTTAAAGAAGACAAGGTTGAGAAAATCCTGACAAGGGTCTTGTCAGTAACTTGGGAAAGCAAAATCACTGTTATTCAGGAATCAAAGAACATTGCTACTCTCAAGTTGGATGAGCTGATTGGAAATCTCACTGCCTATGAACTGAGAAGGTAAACCATGAAGATGGATGCACCCAAGAAGAAAAGAAGCCTGGCTCTCAGAATAGCTGAAGGTACAGACTTAGATGATGATAAAATGGCTATGATCACAAGGGATTTTAAGAAGTACCTAATGAGAGGAAAGAGTTCTTCAAGAGGTGCAACCTTCAACAAACCAAGGGCCCCTGAAAAACAGACCAACGAGGTCTGCTACAAATGTGGCAAGATTGACCACATGATCAAGAATTGTCCTCAGTACGAAATTGAATGGAAGAAAGAAAGGGATGAACAAAGAAACAGAAAGAAGGAACATGTTCAACCCAAGAAGAGCAAAGGATCAACAAAGGCTATGGTTGCTGC